AGCAAAGAAGCACAAAAATTTTTAAAGCATTTTTCAAATTTTGAGACTATCAATTATCAATTGCAACCTATTATTGATTCGTGCATTTTTGACTGAGTAATTGGTCAAGAAAACGCTCTGACAACTGAAGATCCTTTAACGGTTGAACTATTTAAATTCTTATATAACCAAACTTGAGTAACATAAAGTTCGATGAATATAAATTTTCGTGGTGTTTGCACCAGATCAATCGTCAAACATGCTTAAAACAAACATGAAGGCTTATGGAACTATTGAATGGTTTTTTCACATGCTAATCGTTTGAAATTTGCCTTTACTTATGAAGGTCAGTTCTCGCAGATCCGGTATTTTGAAATACATCTTCAAAGCATTTGAGTGAATTTGGGGCTGCTTCGAAAATTACAGAAATTGAACGGAAAACGTTTTGCGGGCTTCATTAACTCCCTTAATCCAAGATAATAATAACTATTTATCATATATAAAAATTCGGAAAAACTGCTTTATCATATGAAGAGTTTAATCGAAAATAGGAAAAGTTCAAGAAGATTTGCACTTTGATTGCACCCCGCAGATGCAAAAAATTTCAAACAAAGATAAAGTTACTTTATTCAAGTTCAAAGCTTATATAATTTCTCATTAGAAGTTTTGTAAGAAATCAGCCATAATTTGTGTTTATTTAAAATACTGTTATTGAAATGGCTAAATGTGTATCCTTTTTGGTGCAACGGCAGAAAAGCGATTCTCAGACGACTTTCGGTCAGAACCAAGTACTTTACCTTAGCCAATTAAAGTAATTTCAGAAATATTATGATTCCTAGAAGTTCCTGGAATACAGTTTAAGCGGTTGTCTGAAAGAGAATCCTTGTCTGAAAGAGAAACAACTCACTGAATCCACAAAAATTATGTTTCAGCAAAACTACTCTAGATTATTTGTCACGCCATATTTTATCAGAACTGGACAGTTCATTCAGAACGTAACCAACTGTTCTGTAACCACACACATCTAGCTGCTCAAACAAGTAATTATTTAGTTAAAAATTTCAAGTAAAAAATTACTTCGGAAACTTTTCAGGAATTTGATTGTACCCGAAATATATCCAATTTCTGCGATTAGTTAGTTCAGCGTTCAACGCGAGCTAAATCGATCAAAGATACGTACATGACCAAACATAGTTCTACAAATATCACTAGTTCTAAATAAACAAACGTAAATCAAAGCAAATAGGAACTATGCAGCTACACACAGCTTCTGGGCTTCAACTGTTGGCAATGCATGGAATCAATCGACTTAGACAACTGACATTATTATTATTTGCACTTAACACAGATTAATTCTGGCTTTACACTGAAACCAGTCGTGTTAGGGATACCAGAAATGTTCAATCGACATTCCCAGTGTTAATTAATATTACCAAAGAGGGCTTTCGGGATTATCCCTTAGATATAACCGATAGGTACTAACACTATTAATGTGTATGTTCAAATTCGGGATTTTGTTTGTACGTCCTAATAAAATCTCAGTTTCAAACATATATATTGTTTTGTATGAGGTTTTTAGCGTTGGCTTTAAAGCAAAACGAGACCATTTGATATTTTATTCGATCGACTTGTTAGAAAAATTTGTACGGTAGAAAAAATAAAAGTATTTACTGATTAGTGGGCCACTAAGGTTTTGCGGTGTGTACAAAAGCAGATTTAAATTGAATTAAATGTGAAAAGTCGATGAGTACTTTAAAAGGCACCACTATTGGTAATACGAAAAAGTCGGATGGAAGATTTAACTTATTTACTTATAATGCTTTAAACAGATAAATTGAGTCGCAATTACTTATAGTTCTGTTGTTGCCCGCTAATTTATGCTTCTACAAAACAATATATGTGCTATTTTGTTTTATTCAGAATTTCAATCTACGCTGTACTTTAGCGAAGAAATTATTTTTAGGAAAGCTGCTTAATTAATTTTCAGACATGCCTAATTGTGTTTAATCGGATCTCAAACGAACAAGGCCATTAAATTACATTCGGGTGTAAACCAGTCAAATAATAACTCTACTACTATCTACTTAACAGATTACTTATTTCCAATGCAGATATTAGGATATTATTTAACATGATTCCACTTGTCATTGATTAAAGTGAGATACCAAAACTTTAAAAACATAAATAGCTCGATATTAATTTAGGCAGTAAAGAAGGAATTCTGTTTATAAGCAAAATTCTAATAAGCAAACACCGCTAAATAGATCACGAAATGGGCAGATATTCTGTTTTATTGTCTTAATATTAAGCACGATAATAAATAAATTGAATCGTCAGCCGATTCAAAGTGCTCGCAAAATAGTTTACCTTTTTAATTTTTTTATTCAAGAAACCGTTCAGCGATACAACGTCTTATCATATTATCATCATATTCTCTGCTAGAGTACCTGTTTTTGTACGGAAGTAATAGACAGTCGTAGCAGATTATCTTTTTCTTCTTATTTCAGTCAAATCCGATCAAAGTACAGAAATTCGACTAATAACTGCTAGCTAATGTGGGTGTTTTCTTATTAGCAAAGCATCCCGTATTTTTCGATTAATAGCAAAGCCAAATCCCTATCTTAGCTCAAATGGTCGTTGCTGAAGCCTTCGCAAGAAACCGGCAAAAGAAGCGTTTGGAAAATTGGTAAACAGCAAGGTTTCAGCCTTACATAGCAGGCAAATCTTTCACGAGTGATGGTTAACTGAACCGATAGGAGCTCTTACTATTTTGTCTGGTGATTCCTGTTGAAAAACATGATTTTACCTAATTTACTTATCCAAAAAAAGGACAGCTTTTGAAACATGGGGCATCTAGACAAAACAGACAAAGGACAATTATTGTTTGTAATGCTACTATCACAGGATCATTTCCTGTCCGCATTTCGTTTGGATTGAGAAATTAAAGGCCGATACTGCTGTAGACAGATCCTGTTTTCCTTGAAAAGAATTTGATCAAGATGTGATGTTGTGGAGTTCATCAGTAACTTGTCAGATCAAAAAATTAAACACGAATAGACATCAAACAGATGCAAAAAAGTATATTTATAGTTATCTATGCCAAACACACGAGTGCTTGGAAACCACTAGAAGCATGTCGTCAATGTGCTTCCAGCTTCTTAGTATTTGTTAATAAAAGTCGGCCCGTCAGGTGTAGAAAGTAGAACACAAAATTGACTCAAACTTGGAGACTGTATTTGATTAGAAATCATTAGTCGGTTGTGCATGAGGTTGTATTCAATGCAACCAGAAAACTTGTTTTGTCAGTCGGCTATCTACCAATTTAAAGGAGTTATTAAATTTTATATAAAAAAATAAAATGTTTATTTGCTTTTTTACCATTTTATATGCGATTCCTTCATATTCTTTCGCCTGTAGGTTGACCAATTTTTTGATTGGCTCTAACTCTGACTTGAGATATTAGCTTTAAGCTGGGTTATATTAGTATTAAGTGTTAATAGAACAACAGATAATTTCATTAAAATTTTGCTTAATATTGCGGAATATTTCATAACAATTTTTACGGTGTCATAACAAACACTAGTAAAAACACTATAAAAACTGAACCGAGAATTTATTTGGAGTCGCGATATGTAAAACGGACGGTAATGTAAACTCACCTCTTTGTGGCAGGGGATTTTTGGCACTTTCCAACTCAAGTTGAACTTCATCGTGAAGTATTCCCGGAAGAACCGCAATACAATGTAACACTAGTCGACCATTATCAAAATGAAAGTCATCTAATGGAAGATCCAAAGATAAATCACTCCATGACCGTTCCTGAAGTTTGGTGTAAGGATGCGGGTTATTTTCGGCAACCTGGAAAGACGGGACTTTTAAGTATGCTTATCAAGTATCAAGTATCAAGTTCAACTTTTCTACAAATGCAAATTATTGAATGTAATATGCTTGTAAAATAAATTACTGTATTCTCGCTGTACAAACAATTAATGTATTCAATGCGTTTTTCGAAATGTGATGCTCCATTAGTTATCATATACCCTGAAGTCGAAATTTCAGAATTGCATATAATCCAAATCTTGTAAAATAGATAAAACATCAAGTATTGCTTTGAGCCTCATAATATCACCATCTCCAAACCAAGTTACTGTTATTTAAGCGTTAACAATTTGCCATTTCCTTATTTCTTAAAGGGTGTTGTAATTGTCGCCTAGCGAACAGCCAAATGGTCGCAAAAGCTAAATGCACTAGAAAACTGGAACGACTATTCCTAGAAAACCATGTTGAAATAAAAGCAATTTGGTCAATATTGCTTAGCCTAAACGCTTTCTTTCTGGCGCTCTCCAAAGGTAATATCACTAATTATGTGAACTCCGTCACTTGTGCTCATCCAAACAGAGCTAGGCTGACTGTGTTTTCTTCTACTGGAGACCAAAAATAAACTAATATTCCTGTTACATCTAGTTTCAGTTGTCCGTCCAAAACAACGATTAATTTGAGTTTGATTAAATTAACCAGCTAGTTTCACCTGCAGTCGATTTACGTGTGAGGCAACAGATATTCAGAAAGTGCAAATAAAACCGTCGTTGCCTCTCATTGATGGTTTACGATTTTGTAGATATTTCAGTCTGAAGGCAGAATTATTATTTCAGATTATTCATCTGCGCTCTTTGGACAAATTAATATAGCACATTCAAAAAATGCGTTCATTGCATTTTAATGTGCAAATTTTGGGTTCTCAAATGTTACTTTAGTAACTGAATCTCTATGTGTCTAACGCATACATTTTCCCTACCTAAAGTGAAGGGCAGTTCATTTTTTTCACGTTGATGGTACTTGAAGCGGCCCTATTTGAGGTTTACAAAGAATTTTAATTTATTTATTTTTACTGGGACGAAGTATTTAATGAATGATGTATTTGCGCACATATAATTTTCTTTTTGGGCTTTGCGAGGTATTGACAACTTTTGTTATTGAAAACCCCACTAAATATCAATATTCGAAGATTGTCTGGGAAACCCTGAAACCTAACTATCGAGAATACCGTCAGAATACCGAGATAAGTTAGCATTTTTACCTGTGGCCATTTCACCACATTTTTACTGCTAGAAATATTTTTTTGCGTCCGTGGAAATAGTATGAAATTTGTGCTGAGCTGAGTTAAAAGCATATTTATCACAACCAAATATATTCGCGACACTTCATTACCCTGTGTCATTTTGCATACTAAAGAGTTCCGAGCGTCTGAAAAAGAAAACCGGATCAAACTAATTGCATAATTTAAACTTTAATTGTTCTTGAGTTTCTCGTATCTTTTTCTACCATTTTACATGTAAATGTAATCACTAGGAAACAATAGACAGGTTTAATTCAAATGCAAAATATTCCTTTCAAAAAGCCTGCAGACTTTGTCTGATGGAAAAAGGAAAAAGCGTACTGTCTTGCTACTGTATTAGTTAAATAAAATATCTCTTTTGTAATTAAGAAGTGAACACTTCCATAGAAAAATTAAATAGTAGGAGAGAAATATTATTTCTTTACAGTGTTAAAAAAATAAAAATGTAATTAAAAGGTCATTATTTCCGGTATATAATAGTTTAATTTTCAAGCTATAAAGAAACGGAGTATGATGACCATAAATTTGTTTATTTTGACAAACATATTTATCTAAAGACAGCTCTCTCAAGCTAATGTACTTCTAATTTAGACCTTGGAATTTAGGACACTGGACAAGCTGTCGTTCCTTAAGTTAACGAAGGAACGTACTTAATTCCAAATTAATTGGAAACATTTTATTTTGGTATCAGGTGAAGGTGAAGATTCCACCAAGTATATCGAGGCAGAACACTGTGGAAATCTTCATTGAAATTAAATCCCTGTTCTATGTGCGAATCGTTTATATATTTGATAACAAGGTTGGAATTTTTTTCAGTTTTGAGAAAATTTTGCCAAGAATCTTAGTGAGTTCCAATAATATCTTACACTATTTTTAAACCTGTCGGTGTTGCGCCTCGGTTTTGCATACCAATATACGAAAAAATTACTTTCAGCAATGACAACTTCGATTAAATTGTTCAGAAATGGGCAGATTCTTAATTAGTATGGAGATTAGTTAAAAATTGTCGGTTGATTTAGGGACTAGACTGTGGTATTCGCAATAAAACTGGTTAAAAGATTTGTTAAAAATGCATCTGGTTCGCATCTGCAAATGAGGTTTCCTGCGGTTAAATACCTACAGCTTAATTAATGAATACTAATTATCCACAAATTATCATGTTTAATAAAGGGCATTTCATCGCCCGCATTATCGAACCGATTTTGGAATATGCTGTATGCCAATAAGATGCGGTCTGACGATTATTTCACATTACCCAAATTTAAATTTTAAAAAGCCTCAAGTAAATACTAAGCTGACGGTCACGTAACAGACATTCTTTGAGTGAAGAAGATTCAGAACTAGTTTATGATTTCCACTATTTTGGAAGACGAAGTTTCCTTATCTTAACGCAGACTGTTGACAGGCTGTTGCAAAAACATTACTTGATTCAGAGTTTTTCTTCAATAAGTTACCACCCATTGAAAAAGCAAGAATAAAATGTATTCGTGTCAAACCGCACAAAACGCGGAAATAAAAATGACTCTGATTTTAGTTATATAGAGTTAGTTATATTTAGATGTATTACGCATGAAGTTTACTTGTCCTACACAATGATTCTAGTATTGTCTTTATTTCAAATGTCTTTTAATTAGCTGCTGATGACCAAAATTATGTAATACCTGTTATACAAACAGTACACTTACCGTTAAGTTATTAAGTTTAAACAACAGTTTAACAGGCGGTCTGGATGGAGGACATGAACAGTTGGCTCGTAAGATGTCCCCAGAGTCCAAGACATCGCGACCCACGCTTATCTTAGGAGAAGTTTCAGGGAGTTCTGAAAAGAACAATGTTTTCAATAAGACATTGTACTATTGTGGAAATATTTGGTCTTCGTTTACATAGTAAATAAGTTATAAGTTCTGTGTGAGTTTAACTTAACTTTTAATGACTGAATGACTCTGACGACTAAGGCAAATGTAATTGTAAAACAAGGTGATTTTTTATACTGTTAGGTAGTCAGCTGTGCGTTATAGTTAACGCACCTACTTTTAGAACGTATATATCAAGAGGCAATTTATGGTAACATTAAATAATATATTTTAATAATCGCCTCATGTAGAATTTAGAATACTTATCGCAGTGTTATACTGGTAATTGTAGGTTTGTCTTAAAATTGGCACCAAACGGTCAAAAACAGTTTTAATAAGAATAGTAATATATGTTGATTTCGAAATTATTGCAAAGACATAACGAAGTGATAAATAATTTTACATTTACTGTATATTAAAATAAAATCATAAACAAATTCTTCGCGCGTTTTATTTCTTCATCAAACAATATTTACCTTGAAATTTTCCAAATATTTGTTACAACTTATTGTACTAACTTATTCTACAGTTTCATGCACATATAGTGCGCACTCTATCCGGTTGTTTGTAAATAATACTTACGATACTATTGCTGAGCTGATCTTGTGTTAAATACAGGGTGATTCAAAATTGGCGTCATTCCTTTTAAGGGGTGATAGAGGCTCCCTTGGGGAGTACCACAAAAATATAAAAACAAATTTTTTTCGAAAATTTCTAGAAGATATTAACAGTTGAAAATCGAATTTAAACTTTGTTATTAAGCATTATTTTGCAAAAATTCCACGTTGGATTGGCAGCCTATTGGAATACTTAAGCATTCAAAAAGAAAAATTACGATCTTTGCTTCAAATTACGGAAATTTCTGATATCAAAAAAGTTCCCTTCTACAATTTTTTAATGAAAAGGCACAGCGGCAATGATGTTTTTTGTCATTAACAGATATTTACAGGTGGGTAGCCCTTGTCAATAATAACAATAGTTTGTCAAACTGTGACTTACTTTGAATTTCCTTTCACGAATTTGCTGATATGCGATTAACAGTAACATAGTAGAAGCTGAAAGAACTCACGCTGTTTTTATTAATTTGTCAACATTCAACGATCACTATTTAGATATCTCCTAATCAATCCCTAAGACTGAAAATTTATGTTGAAAGTTAGGATGTTTTGTCTTAAATGGCACTTAGTAACTTATTTTTACCTGCAATTAAAACCAACCGGTTTTTGTGCCATTCTGCAACTGTCGATGTTAAATCTTGACTCTCTTTGTCAGTTGTCAATAGCAAATATAGGTTTATATTACTAATTTTCCTATAAACCTAATGATTGTTTGTCTGGATCCATCCGCCACCGAATAGTGGTCGTTTAGAAAAAAAACACGAACAAAATCGATCCCAAAATATCACTTCGGGCAATTATGTGACTATTTAAAAGAAAGCTTTACTAACTTGCCTGTTTTTTTTTGGTAATGGTCAGTATTTGTCTGTTTTGCAAGCATGTATGTGTCTATCCTTGCCAACTCCCGCCTTCTCACCTCATATAATTCTACTTAATAATATTTTTTTATCAATACATTCATAGCCCTTGAGAAGCCCAGGAGCAGCTTCACCACCTCCAAAATAATTTACATTCGAGAAGATATTCTGGTAGAATCCTGTTTGCGTCGATTCTTCTCTAATAAATCCGTGTTGGTTTTTGATGATTAAGTTACGTGGATTCAAAAACTATTTTATTCTCCTACTCATCGCTAACTCAAAAAGTGTGGAAAATTCAGGTAATAAGCTGATTGGGCTGCAAATCTTCATCACTTGAGAGTCCAATTTTTCAAGCCCTGGCTTTATAAGAGTGGTCTCATAACATGAGGTATTATGCACTTTGTCTAACCAATGTGAAGATTGACCTTGTCTAACACTCAGATGGCCTAGTGAGTATACCATTCTATAGACTGTCTAAAATACCTCAGTTAATTTGCAGATTACGCAAAGTAGTAGTAATTGTTTGGTTTAAATAACTTTCGTTTAAATAACAAATATTTCAATTTTTCGGGTTCGTTTGTTTTAATCTCTTCTAGAACTAGAACGCTTATGACCAATAAGTTTAAATTAATACACATAGACCCAAATGAAAAGATGCAAATTATACGTTCAGTTTTGCGAAAAGGTCTGATCAGCGAAGCAAGTAACTCAAGTCAAATCACCCAACACATAAAGTCGAGAAACTACCTCCACAAAATGAAATAAATATTTTATTTAAAGTCTCTCGGCTCCAAAAGGAGGATTTTATTGGTGGGCCCCGGATATTGAGACCCAATAAACAACTGAAACTTGTTTAGACTGCAAGCGCAACTCAGATTGAAACTTGTAATTTTAAGCAGCA